GTTGTGAGTAGTGTATTAAAGATCGTTTAACAACTAGATAAACGAGAATTATTGGGTTACGAAGCACTGTTTTACTTTATTCTGGTCGATTGAATGTGATAATTTGGAATCGCATACCTATATTTATCTCATCCTATTCTTCTTGAAACCCATTTGGAATTGTTTTCTTGCTCATCCTCTGCTCTGCTCCGGATAATAAATTGTTGGATTCAAATTGAAAAAGTGGGCTAACATCCTATCTGTATCTTAAATCTTTTGTTTTTTAAGTGAAACGGAACATTGGATCAAGGTCAATTCAGATTACTAATTTAATTCGGATTACTCGGATTTGAATATGCGAAAGAAGATTTGAATTTAATCCAAATGACCCCTGAAGAATAGGATCGAAACTCTACTTAATAATAAGCTTTTAATGATTTAGGCATTTTTCGATATTTAAAATTTCGATAAATTAATTGCTGCGTAGTCAAGCGATTGTAATCGTCTTTTAAAAAATGGAATTCGGCATATTCAGAAATTGAAATATCCTTTTACAAGAGTACCAAGATCAAAATTGCATAGTGTGCTAAATGCCATCGTTAAAATTATGGCCAATATTATAAATAAGACAATCTAACATGGCGCAATAGTATCAACTCAAAAGCACTCAAACCACACCCAATCCAGAAAAGATTGTATCCGGGTAGACATTTTTATTATTTGGTATAATAAATTACCCGGGCAATTTATCAAATATCAGTTATCTGTTATCTAAAGTATCCAGATACCCGTTTACTATTGATATCCGAATAATTATTCGATCTGGATTATTTAATACGGATAAATAAATGGATGACGGATTTATTCGGATTGGAACTCTACATGGCACGAGAGAGCTTTACTAACGACGATGTCAGAATGAAGAAAAACAGTGCTTCGTAACCCAATAATTCTCGTTTATCTAGTTGTTAAACGATCTTTAATACACTACTCACAACTAGATAAATAAATTAGAGCATACGTAGTGTAATGGTTAACATTAATATTCACGAATAGATCCGTATATTAAATCTAACTCCAACATTGGCCAATCAGAATCATGACAATAGGTAACATAGTATACCATTTCGGATTAAGGTTCGAATAATCCTTAACGTTAATTGGATTGCGGATCGAGGCGCTAGTATTAAGTTGCCGATTGGTTTTTTTGAACTATTGCATAATATATAGAATTTTAACAAACTATCAATTTAAACTTTGAAATATAAATTTATCATGATGTTAAGATTCTACTTAATATATTTTAACTATAAAATAATACTACCTTCAAAGTATAAGTTTTGTGTTTTATATTTCACTTATAAAAAAGTAAAAAATGGTTGATTTACAAGTCACGAACTACAATATTCAGTAAATATTCATTAGATATTATGTTCATTCGAGTTTTTCTGATGAATACCTGATTAGTAAAACATTAAACAAATGAATATTCGAATACAATTTTTCTAACCGGCTCAGATCACCTGTGCTTTGATCGAATGTCCCATAAAGAAAAGCTAAAATGTCTTAATATTTAGAAATTCATCAATCTTAATTATAACTTATTTATTTCTTTATATATCAAGTCATCCATTTCATCACTTAGGATATACCAGTCACCTAACCATTACCTTATTATTTTACAACTGCTAATGTGTTGAATATTGATAAAAAAAAATAATCAATCGTTTGACAAAAAAATTTTACTGACATCTATTTACTTTGATATATCATTATTTTATAATTTGAAGTATTTTATTATCAATAACACTAATTTAAAAAAAAAACACAAAAGTTACAAAATTTACTAATCATAGTTTGAGTATTGATAAATCACAAATCTTTTCTAAACAAATAATCAATCTCTCTAATTAAACCATCAACGAATGCCTGGTCTGTGCATTTAAGTTCAATGCGAACTCCTGTATTTTGAGCACTGCCAGGTATTTCAGTTTCTTCTACCACTAAATTTTTTTCAACAGTTAATTTTGCCAACCCAGCAATTTGATATCCTTGTACACTCCTACCATACATTGTTATAGCGCCTGGGATTTGCTCAACAATATGTGTTCCAGTTGCCATTGATATTAATCGTATCACATCGTTATGGAAAGATTGTTCAATTAAATTAGTTGAAGCATCTAGGCGTATAGACGTTGATCCAGTAAATGGAAAGTCTGCTGTTTTGGAAACACACGACTTAAACTCTTCTGGTGTTATTTTTGGAATGTTTAGCATGAATACTGCCATAGGTAACTCAAATCTTATTGGTATATCAGAATTTGTCTTTGTTTCTTCATCCGACTATATATTGCAAATTTGATATTGGTTAAGTCACATTAAAATATTAAATGAAATATTGAACATATATTTCTTTTACCTGTATTTCGTACGTAATGTTCCCAGAAACACTTAAACCCGCGCCAACAATTCCCATGACTTTAAATTCTATAGTCACACTTTTCTGCTCATCATGTTGTAATTCACCTATTTCTATTAATGCTTTGTCAAATTGAATGTCTGATGTTGATTCAAAAGTGAATGCCAATTTAGAAAGGGGATATTTGTCTGAACAATTATTGCGAACAGTGAAATCCGCAATCATTATAGGAGCTTCATTTTTGGCTTCTGTAGAAGAACCTAATCTTAACGTATAAAGCTTTGGTTGTTTGCCCATTAAAAATGTTAGTACGTTTGCAATTCAATAAATGACAAATATATAATAAAATGAACATACAACTTGAATATCGTCTGAATCCACCAATTTGATTGGGACAGTGCTAATTAGATGTGGTTCTACAACTACATTATTATGTTCTGATGTGGCACCATCAGATGTTAAATTCTTCTTCTTTGGTTTCTAAATAAAATCTGTTAATTTATATCTTTGAATAACAATTCGCGAGTACACACATACCTTTCCTTTGTCCTTCTTTCCTTTTTTCTTTCGATCATCAGTATCTTCAACTCGTTTTTTCTTGGGTGTCTTCTTGGATTTAGAAGATTGTTCACCATGATTTTCTGCACTTTTTGCTTTTGGTGTAACCTCCAAAGAGACTTTCGCTTTTTGTTTTTCGTCCTAAGGGAGAAAAATAATTTCAGTATCATATTATTGAGGATTGTAAGGCTGTAAATTTAATATTTTGGTTCATACAACATTAAAATATTAGAAGTGGCCCAACTTCCCCCATTCTATAAAAAAATTTTTATAATTTTATCGAAAAAATTTCAAAAACCAGCCTGATTGTTGTGTGAACCAGAATTATAATTTCGCATGACTTTGTATACAACAAACCTTGTTTTTTTTAGTCCGAGATGTACTTTCTTGTGCTTGCTTGATTCGTCTTTCTTCAATTCTTCGTCTTATCCTTTCCTCTTCTCGCCTTCGAACCTCCTCGGGTGCAAGATAAACTGCAGCCTGTGGAAATGTCTCATCCTTTCCTAATGGTGTTGACAGGTCTACATTTGATACACCAGAAAAATCTACATCCAAAATACCAGTTTTGCTTGATATTGTATTCCAAGGATTATTGTTATAGCCGGTCTTTGTAGTATCCTTTTCTTCATCGGATATAGTAGCATTCTCTGGCATCTCACCAATATCAGTATAAATAACCGGTGGGGCAAGTGGCGGTGAATGTCGGTCTTCTTTTTTCGATGCTTTAGATTTTTTGGATTTTTTTTTATCTCCTGAAAAAGATTGAACTATTATTTTTTTTGTCATTGACATTAAAAGTAATGTGAATGAGACTATCGTAATCATTACTTTTAAAGTTAAATTCATCCATTGTTAAACGAACTACTGGTATAGAATCCACGTCAATTTCTTCCGTAATACGCTTTGATAGACTATCTGATTTTGAATTTTTCAATATATCTTTTCCTGTATTACTAATGTAAAATGGATCATTCTTGATACGTTCAATACGTTCTTTACGACGCTAAAGTTCATATGATATGCCACGGATTAACATAATAGTAATTAATGAGAACAACTAAAGTATCCAGTAAACTGAATACTAATGAACAAAAGGAATAGATTACTTGTTACCTTTTCCTTAATTTCCTCATCTTCTTCACTGTCGTACTTTTTTTTACTTGATTTTCTACCGCGACGCCTTCCAATTGCTGTACCACTACCACTAGAAAATATCAAATCACCACTCCCACCAAACTTTTGAGTATATCCATACCCATAACTTTCTTCCTCTTCTTCACTCTCATTGTTTTCTGATTCAGGTAACGGTTCATTAATCCATGCATCTAAGTCTAATCCATCAGGAACAGGCACCTTTTTTTGTGCTTTAGGAGCCACGGGGTTAAGTTCATAGGAAAAAAAAAGCGAATAAAGTTCAGGGATGACGTCAGGAGATTTATTGGTTGAGGTATATATATCATTTTTAATATCAAACGAATTATCTGGTGTCATAGTCAAATTTTGATGGATTATTGAAAATATCTCTCGTGCATTGTACGCCTATTAAGATAATAAAAAAAAAATAAAAAAATATAAACTATCATAATAAACATTATACGCGCCTAAACTTGCAATATTGTAAGTCATTACCCTCTCCTGAACTTCCAAATCGGTACTAGAACAAAATATTGAGATTTTATCTTTTATCATTTCTGTAAACCGCAATAATTCCTGTTTTGAATCCTCATCCCAGTTATAAGTCAAACTGTTTGTCCATTGTGCATATATTTTCAAAATAGTTTGAATATAAACAGCTTGAACGTTATGCGAAAGCTTTGTGACACCAGGCTGAACAAGATATCCAATGGTATCAATTGGCGTTTCCAGATAACTGAAGAGATCATAAGAACCGAATAAGCAACATTCGAATAACAATTAATTAAGATGAACATAAAAATGCAACCTGCAATATTCTCCCGTTATCCAAGCAGCAGCATAAAGCACTTCAGCATTAGATTCTGAAAATTTAGAATTTTCCAAAAGACTAGAATCTGATAGCAACCTTTGCTGTATTATAATTAATAAGTAAGTCTTAATTTTTACAAATTTTAAAGAAAATTTTAACAGCATACCATTGCCTTTACACAATATTGCCGTACACCCTTGACACGAACACCAACATCCATTATTTGTGTTGTTAGTAGATCACCAACATTAACACCAGCTACATGAGTAAGATCTACCAAGACTGCAATATACCATTCAAAATTTACAATATTACTATATGAATTCTGAGAACATATATATATAATCCGATTTATTATGTCTGCTCGATAAGCTGGTTCAAGCAATGTTGATGGAAGTGGATGTCCTGAGTCATTATTATTATTTGATGGTAAAAGATGCGACATCAAGCGTTTGACGATGTCTGTAAGATTTTTTTTATTAACCTTTAAAATATAACATAAAATGTTAATAATAAAAATATAAGAATCCATTTATTTCAAGTATATAAAAACTAATTACCATGCCAACAACTAAGTCCAATGCACGTAAACGGATACTAATATCATGGTCATCAATACATTTTAGAATAATATCACGGTTTTCTGCTACCAATTTTGGATATGCTGGAAGAATTTTGGATAATGCCAAGAGTCCAACATATTTCACTAAATTTAAAATTATGAAATTTGAATTAAAGATAATAAAAACCTAGAGATATTTATTAAGTCTCACTAAATTAACAAGGATCACTAAATTCATAAGGATACAATTCTGATCAGGATCCTCTAGAAATATTCTCAACTTGTTGACACACATTGCAGCCAAAGCATCTGAATTTCCACCCGACGTTAGCATCTCACCAATAATTACGGTATGTATACATTCATATAGTAATGACATGGCTTGAGTTGTTTGTATTTGTTGTGTAATTGGTGGTAAAAGTTTCTTGGCAAGGCGTGGCTCCAATGGTGTTAAAGCACCAAACTGCAATAATATTTAAATCAATAATTAACCATGTACATTAAAAAATAAACCTTAAACTATCTACACAATACCAGTTTAATAATTTTTATAAGCATCCAATTATTGGAAGAGGTGTTAAATAATTTAAACAATTGTGGTGCAAGGGACAAATAATTCTTTGGATTTTTCCGTGCCAATTCACATATTACATTAACAACAGCGCATACGACCGCTATTAATGTGAAAGAAAAATTAGAACAAGACAAAAAAGCACATAATTGGTTAAGGTTCATAAATCTCACTAACATGGATCAGGATCATCAAGCCGTTCTTTCAAACGGGGAAAACTTAATCTCAAAGCTTCAGGAAATTTAAGAAAAAGTTTATAAAGAACAAGCACCACTTTTTTTCGCACATAAGGACGAGAATGACTAAGCATTGAAACAAGATCCTGACAAAGATCACGAGCAAGATCTGGTGTGACGATATGAGAGAGTCCATTAAGAGCTATACCGACCTCAAGGTGATTTCCTGATGCGAGATCCTGCATGGAAAGCATTAGTTGAAATATCCATAACAAACAAAAACATCTGAATTATTAAAACACTACCTTTTTTAATAAATTAGTAGTTAACATTAATACATCTGTATCCTGCCGGAAGGATTGTGTGGCCGCCAAGTAACCCGAAAGTTTTTGAAAAAATTTTGCCGATGACATAACCTCAACAACATGAAAAGATGCCCATGACATATCATAGCCTAGCATTTGAAGCTACAAAGGGCAACAATAATTGTCAATGTGATTGTAAAAACGAAACACACGAAACTTGAAAATTTTGCAATAATTGTCCATATTAAAAAAGACTTTATTATTCAAAACATCTACAACTCACTGAGAATTCCACGTACATAAGTCAGTTTTGATATTGCCAGTGCTTTTACATCGTGATCATTACTCTTTACTTCTTGATGGATCTCCTGTAAGCACGCAGCAATGTACTTTTGCTCATTTTTCTTGTTTGCGCGGATACCACGAATGAGATCTGTAAGCGACTTTTCAAACATTTCTAGCTCGAAAAGAGCTCATTGAAAAAATACATATCTTCATTTATCAATCACATGCGCCATGTATCAATTGTGACACAAAGGGACGTCGTTAATTGGTGCTCACGAATAGTGAGAATAGTGATATGCTCATGTGCATGGGAATATTTGACCGGGGTAAAATCGCCACCCCAAAAAGTTTCGAAAATTGTGATATTGTCAATTCAGGATCATGATAATAATAATGAAAAGCAATCGTTTCATCTCGACAAACCAAGTGATTCTTTTAAGGGCATAAAATTAAATATTTTAAAAATATACATCGATTGCCGTAACTAAATTTTCACCAATAATAAACGAAAAAAAAAAGAATGAAAGTCGAAATAAAATTGTAAAACTAATCAAGAAAAT